ATAGTATTCCATGGTGTCTATGTGCCACATTTTCTTTATCCAGTCCATCAGTGATGGGCTTTGGGGTTGGTTCCAAGTCTTTGCTATTGTAAACAGTGCTGCAATGAACATACGTATGTGTCTTTATAATAGAACAATTTATAATACTTTGGATATCAACTTTTCTTTTTTATTTTAATGGCTGCTCCATAGACAGAGCAGGGCTATCACATAGGCAAAACAGCCTCAACATTTATTTTAGATACAGGGGGTGCACGTACAGGTTTGTTACATGGGTATATTGCACTCAGGTAGTGAGTGGAGTACCCAGTAGATAGACTTTCAACTCATGCCCCACCCCTGCAAGTACTTATTGAATACAGGAAATTGAAATATATGGGAAATTAAAAGCATTAGAGCACATAGCAGAGGGCCTACCATGGCCTCACGGTCAAGAAGATTTCCACATGAAGTGATGTTTAAACAAATATCTGAAGAGCAGGAATTATTCCACTGAGAGACAGGGGAAACTATACTAGGTAGAGAGATGAGTGAGAGAAGCAGGAAAAGCAGAGGCCTGGGACCAGAACCTGGGACCAGATCACTTGGGCCTCATGAAAGAGCAAGAGGGTGCCATGAAAGCTTTAAGCTGGAGAGTGGTGAAACATTAATTTTTTGCTTTAGAAAGATTACTCTGGTCACAGTGCATAGGGTGAAATATGGAGGGAAGCAAGGCAGGAGACGAAGTAGTTAGGACGTTGCAGTGGCAGAAGAGAGGATAAGGAGTGCATCAATGTGAAATATTTAGGAGATCGCTTTGGCAGGACAAGTATGGGAAGTGAGCGAACTGCTGGCAAGGAACACTCTCAGGTTTTATGATGGTAGAACCATTACCAAACCTGGAAACAACAGAGGAGAACTGGTTAGAGTGGGTTAGAGTACTTTAGACATGTTGAGCTGGTTTAAATGTCTTGTCTCTTAAAGAGACATATGACTGGTTTAAATGTCTCTCAAAGAGATCATCGAGGGTTCAAGCCCCTATGATGGCTTCTACTCTTTTCTTTAGTGTCTGGTATACAGCAGGTACTAGTTGCTGAAAAAAGAAAGGAAAGAAGGAAGAACTCCAAGCTAGTGTGGGGGCCAGTAAAACTGGAGGTATAAAATTAAAGGTTGGCTGGGCATGGTGATTTGCACCTGTAATCCCAGCACTCTGGGAGGTCAAGGCAGGCGGATCACCTGAGGTAAGGAGTTCAAGACCAGCCTGGCAAATACGGTGAAACCCCATGCCTACTAAAAATACAAAAAATTAGCCGGGTATGGTGGCAGGCGCCTATAATCCCAGCTACTTGGGAGGCTGAGACAGGAGAATTGCTTGTACTCAGGAGGCAGAGGTTGCAGTGAGCCAAGATGGCGCTGCTGCACTCCAGCCTGGGCAACAGAGCAAGACTCTGTCTCAAAAACAAACTAAAAAATATATAAAAAATTAAAGGTCATCACTATTTAAATGGTTCAACTCAGAAGTCACCCAGGAATTTCAGCATGAGTTCTGCATGAGGAAAAGAAAATCACCCCGGGGTGTGTAAATTTGGAAGAGGGCATAAGGAGCCCTGAAGAGCTGTAGCATCTACGAGATAGGTAATGATAATGATAGCATGTAATCCTAAGTACTTGTGCCTCATTACCAATTTTGTTGAAAATATTTTGCCCCTTCACTAGACATTTTCCCATTTTAATCTAGAAATCTCCCTATTGTTAGGTAAGGATAGGACTTCTGCTGTGTGCTCTGATAGCTCTTATTTCCCCATATATTGCAATTTCCTTTATTATGAATGTGATCCCTCCCTGGGAGAACCGATCCCAGTAAAGGTGTGGGGAACTCATGACTAGTGGTTTCACTCATAACAGCGAACACTTACTGAGTGATTACTGTGTGCAAGGCACTATCCTAAGTATTTTACATGTATTAATTAATTCTCACTACCCTATGAGCATGGTTAAATGTAATGAGGAATTACAGAGACAAAGAGGGTAGAGATAAAGGAGACAGGTGATAATTAAAAGAGCAAAAGCTCTGGAAATGGGGCTATCCTTTGACAATAGATGGAACATCTCTACCACTGCATCTTCTGAAGGACAGAAGCAAAGTGGTAACAGGTGTGTTTCGTTTGGGGTTTTTGTTTTTGTTTTTTGAGATGGAACCCAGGCTGGAGCGCAGTGGTGTGATCTCGGCTCACTGCAACCTCTGCCTCCTGGGTCCAAACGGTTCTCTTGTTTCAGCCTCCCGAGTAGCTGGGATTACAGGTGCCCACCACCACACCCAGCTAGTTTTTGGTATCTTTAGTAGAGATGCGGTGTCACTACGCTGGCCATGCTGGTCTCAAACTCCTGACCTCATGATCCACCTCCCTTGGCCTCCCAAAGTGCTGGGGTTATAGGCATGAGCCACCACGCCCTGGCTAAGTGTGTTTGTTTAAACCAAAATCTTTAATTTTGGTACTCGTTTTCTGTATAATACCTAAAAACAAAAAAGAAAAACTCTAAACAAGCTATTCTTTTTTTCTTTTTTGACCTTTCAGTGTTATCCAGAGGATATTTTAATTGGTTTGATACAAGTAATGACAAAGTGTCATGGGATTACAAAGGAAGGAAACAATTCTGCCTCAAGTCCAGCAGGCGGAGGTGGAAGTTGGGCAGCTTCAGCATATCTTGAACACCCACTAAGTAGCAAGTATACCTGATGCTTTGGGATCCCAAAATGTGTAACATATGGAGATTGTCTGGTGTGCCTCACTATCGCTGTGGGCTCGCCAGAACGTGTTCTCCGTTCTTCTGTCCTAGGACTTCAATTGCCTTTGAGGATTCCATGCCAACTTTGTTCCCATCTTAATGGAATATACGATCAAGGCGCTCTGGCCAGAGGGTGGTCATGAGGCTTAGAGTTCTCTCCCTGGGAAATTTTATCTTGAAATGAGCGACACAAGAAACAAGAATGGGTCATCATTCCAAACTGTATGCCTTGGAGTTCCTGCTCCATGGACCCCCGATGCTGACCCTGGTCTTATCCTTCTGATGGCTGGTCCTTTGGCCCTTCTTTCCATTCCAGGAGCCATCCCACATCCTTCCATAAATTCCTATTCTGGTAAGGTTAGCCAGAGCCAGCTTCCAGTGCTTGCAACTAAAGGATCCTGGCCAATGGATATAGCCACCCATAGAATGTGTGTATGGATGGGATTCTAGCATATCAAAGATGGGTTGACCCCTCCTCATCCCCTTTCCCAGTATGTTCACTGTCTTTTTTTTTTTCTTTTTGTTCATTGTCTTTATCATGGGGATGGGATCATAGCATGGCTCTTTTGAGACACTGACAAATCCCAGCTAGAATTTACCTTCTCAGCCACAAAATCACATTTTTCAGTCCCTTCTGAGTGCCAGACCTAATAACTTTCAGAAACAAACTTTGGGGAAAGCTATCACCCCTAGCCCTCTACTTCTCACTTCCACTCACTACCATCTCCACGTCAATTCAGCCACCCATACCCATGAGCACACTGTGGCACATCGAAATTGTTTGTGAAACCTCTCCTGACCTAGAAAAGGAAGTCTTTAATTAGCTTTCTTTGTGCCACTCAAGTGGTTTGTACTGCCCACTATCATTATCGTATCACATTGTAACGGCTTGTCTATCTTTGGTAATAGCTGTGAATCTTTTAAGGGCAGTGTATTAATCAGAGTCTAGCACAGTGCTTTGCACTTAATGTTTGTAGACCAACCAATCAAACATACAGTATACAGGAAGTTGGGAGATACTATAAAAATCACGTGAACCAGCCAGGCACAGTGGCTCATACCTGTAATCCCAGCACTTTGGGTGGCTGAGGCAGAAGCATCACTTGAGCTCACGAGTTTGAGACCAGCCTGGGCAACACAGTGAGACCTTGTCTCTAAATAGTAATGAGCCAGGTGCAGTGGCTCACGCCTGTAGTCACAGCACTTTGGGCCAAGGCGGGTGGATCACCTAAGGTCAGGAGTTTGAGACCATCCTGGCCAATGTGGTAAAACCCTGTCTCTATTAAAGACCTGGAACCAACCCAAATGCCCAACGATGATAGACTGGATAGGGAAAATGTGATACATATACACCATGGAATATTACGCAGCCATCAAAAACGATGAGTTCACGTCCTTTGTAGGGACATGGATGAACCTGGAAACCATCATTCTCAGCAAACTGACACAAGAGCAGAAAATCAAACACCACATATTCTCACTCATAGGTGGGTGTTGAACAATGAGAACACATGGACACAGGGAGGGGAGCACTACACATTGGGGTCCGTTGGGGGGAAATGGGGGAGGGATGGGGGGGTGGGGAGGTGTGAAGAGATAGCATGGGGAGAAATGACAGATACAGGTGATGGAACGGAAGGCAGCAAACCACACTGCCATGTGTATACCTATGCAACAATCTTGCATGTTCTTCACATGTACCCCAAAACCTAAAACGCAATTAAAAAAAAAAACAACAACACACACACACACACAAAGACTAGCTGGGCAGGATGGTGAGTGCCTGTAATCCCAGCTACTTGGGAGGCTGAGGCAGGAGAACTGCTTGAACCTGGGAGGCAGAGGTTGCAGTGAGCCAAGATCGTACCACTGGACTCCAGCCTGGGTGACAGAGCAAGACTCCATCTCAAAAAAATAAACCAAACAAAGTAATAATAAAAAGATAATGTGAACCAACCTATTTTAAAAAGGCAAACAGAACCAGTTAGGTGGTCCACACCATCCTACCAAAAAAAAGTACTAGTTCGGATTTTAAAAGGTAAGGCAACTTACACAAGGTTATTCAGCAGCAGGTCAGGGCCTAATTCCAGGACAGTGTTCTTGGCACCAGTGTGAAACCATCCCACTCTTCCTCCATCAACATAACCTAGCCACGTAAGGAACACACGCAAGACTCTGCAGCTCCATTCTCACATTCTGTCCCATACAAATTACTCAATCCAGTCCACGGTCAGTTTAGGTTTCGGGGCGCAGTTTATTCAAAAGCTTTAACTGCAAGTTCCACCCCCCATTCCAATATCTAACCCCTCCAACTCTCAATGAAGGGGCTGTCTATCATATGCGGGTGAGATGGGAAAGGAAGGGGTATGGTCTTACTATACAAGTTACTCTCCAGCCTTCAGCTTGTGCTGTCTGAAACCTGAGTCCCTCTGACCAAGGTAACTTGTTCAGAAAGCAGTGGTGCCACCCTGAGAGCACTTTAGGACCGTGCCATCTCCTGAGTTCACTAGTCACATTTCAGTCACTGTGACAAATACGAGTTATCAGTGGTGGTCAAAGGTAGACCAGAGGCACAGGCTGAGGGAATACCCTCTATTAAAGAAGGTTCTAGGAATGAAACATGGAATGCTCAACTTGTTGAAGTGCTCAACTACTACATTAAAAAAGTGGTGGGAAGGTGTCTACTGTTAAGAAAGCACAGTACAATGTGAGGGGCTCCTCGAAAGTTACAATTTTAAAAGTACACAAAAGGAACTCTGCTTAAATCATTCCAGCAATAAGGGGAAAAAAGCTTAGAGCTTAGCCTCTGAATTACTCAAGCTCTGAATCAAATGTATCTCTAGGTGAAGACCAACTCCTTTAATTCCTCATGGAGACTGAATAAAACACTTACCATTGTCTTTTGCCCTAACTCTTCTTTCACTAAATAATTGAAAATCTGGTTTCCTTAATGGACATCACCACTACAAAAAGGTCCACTAAGGGCAAGTGATCGACTTAAGTATGAATGGCCTATAAACCAATTTCCTGCAGGGTTCCCTAACCAAAACCCAGGGCGAGATGGGAAATTTGAGTTTCCACATCTGCCGGGCTGAAAGGCCCATATCTAAGAACAACAAGGGCCATAATATATCTGTTCTCTTGGCTTGATTACAAGATCCATGACTGGTGTGCCATGGTAGTGAGGGATACGTATCCATCGGCAGCAGTGGTTATCTTGTCCTAGAAGCTAGTGTATAGCCTCGGCAGTCACTTGTAAGTCCAGTGGGCAGTGGCCCAACCCTGGCCCTTGCACAGGTCTCGGTGGCGGAGAAAACAGGCATGGACTCGGAACCGACGGCCACAGTGGGGACACGCATGCAAGGCTCCAGCATGGGTCTTCATGTGCTCTGTCAGATGGTGCTTCAGCTTGAAGCGCTTGTTGCAGATGCCACAGCCAAAAGGCCGAAGGCTGAAGGTCAGCATGATGTGCCGGTCACGCTTTGGCTTCACCGCAAACCGCTTCCCACACAGGCAACCAAAGCGTTTTCCATCGGCAGGGGGTGTCCCCCCTAGCTTCACAGGCCCATGCACGGCCTGGCCTGCTCCCCCAGGTCCTCCGCCCCCTGATAGGATTTCATTCCCATGAAGATCCACTGGTTTCCAGGATGGCCCCCCTCCCCCAGATGTTGGCCCTGCCCCCGAAGGCAACAAGAACCCTAGCTCCCCATTCCCTTCAGTGTCCCCTCCAGAAAACACTTTGGTCTCTTCCTTTGCTCCTCCAGGCTGAGTTCCACCTCCTGATACCTCCTCCTTAGGCTCGAAGGGTTCCTGCTTAATGTAGCAGATTTTGGGGGGTAGTGCAGGAGGAGGGGCAGGAAGCTCAAGTGATGCGCTCTCACCCTCTGGAAGCTTGCGAGGAGTCGCAGTCATGGGCAGTGGGTGGGGTCCATGAGGACGGGGAAAAACCCCTGATACTCTCTGGGGCTGAGGAGTCTGAGTGAGCGTGGCTGACCCCTGGTCCTCCTCCTCATCTTCTTCCTCCTCCTCCTCTTCTTCTTCCACCTGAATTTGCAGCACTTCTCCCAGTTCACTTCCCTCCCCTCCCACAGGGCTCTCAGTGGAAGCAGGGCTTTCAGTGGAAGCAGAGGACTGCACTGGGGTCTGGAAAGGGGAAGAGCGAATGCACCAGCCTCCTGTAGAGGACGTAGTGGAAAGAAGTGCGTGGTAGGAGGTTGCTCCACGGGCTGAAATTCCACCACCTGAAGTTTCTAATTCTCTAAGAATCTCTGAGCACTGATCTACTACTTGCCACATTTGAAGGCCACTGGCCACAAGGAGATGAGCAGGGAGAGCATCCAGTGGCAGGCGGAGACGCCCTGAATAAATGAGCTGGAGTAGCCCCTCGAAGGCATCGGCTTCAATGACACTCGGCAGAGTGAGACGAGGCGCATCCCCCAGAAGCAGCTTGTCATGGAAGTAAGGAGAAGCAGCAGCCAACACTGCTTTGTGAGCTCTAAGTTCCCGGCCCTGCACCAGGAGGGACACATCACAGAACTTTCCCTCTAGCCTGTGGCGGTTCAGAGATTCGAGCAGCGAAGAGCTATGCTGTGGGAACTCGATCTGGATTGTCCGTGGGGCTGGGTTGCAGATCGGGGAGGTGGGTACGGGGGGCAAGGGCGTCGGGGTTTCCATGGCCTCCTGGAAGGCGAGAAGGATTGGGAAGAGGAGAGGGGGCCTGGGGGTGGACTCCACGCGGGATGAAGGCTGTAGAGGAAAGAGTCAGAGGTCACAGAAGCCCTTGATAGGGGGAGCCGCATCTCCTCAAACAACCCCCTCCCCCCACCAGCAATCATTGGAAACTTCTCAGTCAGTGGCGGTTTCTGCAAATCAGTCCCGCACACCAAGAAAGCAAAACCAACCACAACAGCAACAAAACACCAACCGGGGTTTTAACTTCCAGCCCCTGGGAAAGATGAGAAGGAGGTCCTTCAGCCACGAGCCTGCCCACCCAGAACAGCTCCGGCCCTGCCGCTCCGTTCCGCCTCACAGTGCTCACAGAGGCTGGCTCCCGGGAAGCCGCGGTCACCGGACACCGCGAGTCTCGGCCCTGGTGCCCTTCCCGCCGACACGCCCCCGCCGTTACACACGCGGCGCTGCACTCACAGGTACCGTGCGGCTACAGCGCCATCCCAGGCCGGAAGCCACGGCCTCCCTGCCGGACGCCGACGCCGAGTGCGGCAGGCGGAGCTAGGGCCGTAGCCAATCGGGGAATAGCAGCCTAGAAGCCCCGTGTCAATTGGCTTCCGCAGGCGAGGAGGGCGGTGCTGGGAGGAGGCCGCTGGCCCAGAGCGCCGGCGCGACGGCTGTCCGGTGTAGCTGCGGAAGTCCTCGCAGCGGCGGAGGACCGAGAGCCGGGGCCCGGGGGAGGACATCCCGGTTGGAGGGGGCGGGCCGCCAGCCGCCTCCGGAAAGCTGCGTTTCCCGGCGATAAGTGTAACGCCCGCCCCCGGTAGGTCCTGAGAGGAGCGAGATTAGTTGAGCACTTAACCGTGTGGGCCCGGCAACTGCCCACATCACCTTGGTCCTCCCACCGGCCCTGAGAGGCTGGGGGTTGCCGTCCTCAGTTTCCAGGCGAGAGAAACCGACTGAAAACGTCACTCACCTAATAGTAGTGGACTGGGACTGGAACCCGGATTTGCTGAGGAACCAGGTTCTTTATTCCGCACTGGAGCATTTTAACCAGCTATTAAAGAAACCTAATTTCTAGGTAATTTTTGAAAGAGATAAATGTGGATATATACATGAACTCTTTTATAAGATAACGCCGCCGTTCTTGGCCTCGGACTAAGTGAAGCAGTGGCGAGGGGAGAGTTAGACTGGAGAAGTTTGGCCAGTGCAAAACTCCTGCTCTAAAATATAAAAAACTTCGTTGGGAGGGGGGAGTGACATTCTATGAGGAGAGTGTGGCATCAGGTGGGGATATACAGTTTTTCTCCCAGGCTGTCCGCTTCCTTTCAGAAAGCAGATCTTACCACCCTAAAGGTCTGTCTCGAAAGCCCTGCCTCAGAAAGTCAGCACAGCGATAAAAGAACAATCTCCGTTTATTAAACATGTTTTTTCTGTTTCACCACACACTCCAGAAAAAAAGGAAATGGGGCTGGGAGTGGAGAAAAGGGGACAGTGAGGGAGGATAGATAAGGCTGGGAAGGGGGATGGGGAGGGAGAACGAGAAAACAAAATAAAACAGGTAGGAAGAGCATCTCCCTACCCTTAAGGTGGTGGGTGGGGAGGGAAGCAGAGGGGCGGGGGGGGAGGGGGCCAGGAAGCTCTGTACAGAAGGGTTGCCCCCAGCCCACACACACACACCCCGGATATGTACAGTACAAACCCCAGATAATTACAACAGCCAAAGAAGAGAGAAGGAAGGTTGGGGAGGGTCCAGGGGTAGGGCCTGAGATGGGGAAAGGGCACAGGGATAAAATTTCACATATTTACAAGTTTTATATAAGTATAAATTTGGCCCCGGCTGGGTGTATGTGTAGGAGGATGGGACTGAAGGGGAACTGTCCATACAAAAGAAAGAGGGGTAGAGTCTAGGAGAGTCTCAATACCAAACGCAAAAAGGGATGAAGGGGGCAAGGCTGGGTAGGGGACAGCAGTCAGGGAAGAGGGGGTGCCAAGGAGGGGCCTCTCCCCTCCCATGGCCTACCCACCCCAAACCCCATCCATCCTACCTCCCCTATCCCGCCAGAGAACTATGTACAGAGAAACACCGAAAAATTGTGGAGCTGGCGGGAGGGAGGGAGGTGGAAGGAGATTGGGAGGGGGAGGATGAGAGGGAAGCCCAGCCCTGTCCTACCTCCCCCAGGGGACAGAGTCATGGAAGGGGGCCCCCCAACACCCCTCCTCCAACACAGGTCCCCCCACCCCGGGGGAGAGAGACATGGCTTTTCCTAGAGTAAGTTCCCCCCTCCCCCTGGGAGTAGAGACCAAGAAGAGAGAAGGGAGGGGCAGGGGGGACTGTGTGTCAGAGTAGGGCAGATCAACTAGCCTGTCCTCCCAACATACACGCCCTCCTAAACCCTGACCCCTCACCCTAACCTCAATTCCACCCCACCCAACACACTGGGGGAGGGGGGGGCATAAGCCCCCTCACCCCGCTCTGGGACCAGCCAAGAGCAGATCAGGTGTGGGGAGAAGGGGAGACAACTCCCATTCTCCCCTTGCCGCCCCCTCCCTGCCCCGGTGGCCCCCTCCACCCCATCTGGGTTCTGGGTGGGGAGGGAGTAAATTTGAGTGGTAGGAGGAGAAGGAGTTTGTGCGTGCTGAGCCCCCCCAGACGCTCCTGAGAAATCAAGGGGTAATAGGGCCCCCTCACCTGGGGTCCCCTCCCCATAACAAGGGGGGCAGGGGAGGCCAAAATGGGGCGGTGGAGGGGAGTTAGATTGTCAGCTCTGGTTACTGCTAAAAAAATCACCCTGAAGTTGAAAGTTTGGAGGTGCCACACCCCCAGGGTGGGGGTGAGGGTCTGTCCCCCAGTGCTCAGGGGAACGATGAGGCAGAGGATGGGGATAGCACCCCGGAGTGAAGGGGTCTTTGTGGGGTAGGCGGTGTCCTGGGGCAAGGGTCCCTGGGGGTCAGGGCAGCACCCCAATGGGAAGGAAAAGGGGGGCAGCTGAGGGTCCCCGCTCTCCCTCCTGGAAATGGTGCAGTAGGGGGGTGGGCGATCAGTGTGCCTCCCAAAGAGGCATTCAGGGAGGCAATCCCGCTGTTCCTCGGTGATGTCCAGTCCTGGTGGTTGGTGCTGTTACAGGGTGGGGTGCACAGGAAAGGAAGAGAAGGTCTGTGATGCTGGGTGGGCTAGTGGTCTGCGGTGTTTCGGAACTCGCCGTTCTCCGTAATCTGCAGCCGGGGTGGGGGGGGCGGGGCTGGGGGGGCCAGGCCGTTCCACGGTGGGGCCAGCGTCACACGCGGGTTTGTTGGACCCAAGGGGGGAAGCTGCCTCTCCTGCAAGACACCAAAGAGGAGAGCGCGGACTTATTGAGACGCTTCAAGGGGGCCTGAATGCCAGTCCCCTAGCAGTGGCCTCCCCTATAGCCAGCCCACTCCACAAGCCATGGAACACCCCTTCCTCCCAGGACAGTCCCCACCATCCTCCTATTTTGTTTCTCACCTGCAGTAGAAGTTAACGTCGTCTGGGATCAGAGAGAAGAGAATCTCACTCCTAGACTCCTAACAGAGGCCTTTAAGCCTTTAACCCAGAATGTCACACCAGGAAACCAGATGAAAGCAGCAAGTTCCAACCGCACCCCCAGCCTAACCCTTCTCTGGCTTCACCTATGTATATTCCCTGCCCAACCCACCCTCCCCGTCTTGAAACCCCCTCCCACCCACCCCCAATCCGAGGTGGGAACTTTGTGTTGACGAATAAGGGGAGGCAGTACAGCAAAACCTCATTAATCCAAACCCCTGTGGATTTGGAATTTCTTCATAATTTGAATAAAAACTGGGCTTGAGTTTTCCTTTATCTGTGAAGAAAGGGTGTGCTAAGCAAATTAGTGGTGGAAATGTGTCTGTAGGAGGGGATATTTAACCTATACCAGAAAACAGACTTTTGAATCCTATCTATTCATTAATACATGCTCCCTAAGGAGTGGAAAAAGCCTTGTTCATCGAGTTCTACTTCCTGTATATAGTGTGAAGACATGCATTTCACTCAGTAGACACTGTCACTCAGTTTTGTCACTTATTCAGAGTGGCCATCTTCTCAAAAATAACATTCCAAATTAGAGAGAGATTTAACCGTACTGGGGGGAAAGAAGGGATTCAGGGAAGTGATTTGTAAAGGGCAAAATCTTGTGGGAGGGCTGCACTTGTCACAATTATGGCGAAAATGACTAGGAGCTTCTGCAGAGACACAGCATGCCCCAATCTCTGCATCCCTGGGAAGCAGAAACCGGCTTTATTCTTTTCCACCCCCATCCTCCTTTCAGTCCTTCTCCTTGGGCTCCCAATTAGAGGGTGAAGGGTACCAGACCCAACTCCTACCCCTGGTCCTACTCTAATCACCTCCTATAGCTCCTGGACCAACTCCTGGTTCCTGCCCTTAGCTCTACCTTCTATTCCTCTGCTGGGAGAAAAGAAAGCCATCTACACTTCTGGTTGCTCACTTGGCTTTTTAAAATTCGGGCTCAAAAGTAATTTTTAATTAATGGCTGAGTTGCAGAGGGACCAATACCTAATACAAGTGGTTTAGAACAAATGTCCAAATTACTTCCGAGGCCACACAGCATTTAGGCTTGGCAGTATAGCTATGTCTGATCTTATCTCCAAAGGATAAAAACACCTTCCAAGTAACAGCTTCCAGATAAGCTCTCCCTTCCATCCCAAGATCAAGTTGCTAACTTCTCGGGTCACCCAAACCCCAGCCTTGGGTATGAGATATCCAGCGAAACTGCCTTCTTAGCTTGCTGGGTATCTCACGTACTTTCTGCAAGTCAGTGAGAGGAAATCTGAGTAGGGCAGGGGAGCAGGGAAGGAACCCCCAGATTCCATTCCCTCTGTCTGTCTCCTAGGGACAGCACATAGGCATGCCCCAGACACCCCCATGGACCCAAATTTAGAAAGTGGATAAATTAGGGTGCCATTATTCATTACTAAAGAATTCACTGCAGGAGTCCTTTAAATGGCAAAGTCCCCTGGTGTCTTTCAGCATCTGTTTACAGATCACCAGCTACTTTGACAGAGAGGCTGGGCAGGCAGAGAGTTAAAATTACAGTGTAAGGAGCCACTGCCCACTGCAGCTCAATCCCAAAGAAAATCACATCTCAGAAATGATGTCTAGAGCTGACAGGTTCTCATTTACTGGCTTTTTAGGTAGGGTTATGTGTCCGGCAACGCTACTTGGTGGCAGGAAAGGGGGAGTGAGTGGCATCAGCAACCTGGGGATGTGAGCTCTGAGAGTAGGTTCTTTACCTTGCTGTTCCTGGCACCTCTGCCTGGGAAACAAAAGGCTTTCTGAGCCCACGATCTGATCTAGGAGGATGTCTCTCCCCACTTCTAAACTCCCAGGCCACATGGGCAAGTCCATGTCCTAACATCTGCCTGAGGTTCCTTTCTTGCTCCTTCTTGTTCCACCCACCCTGCCTAATGTCAGGACATCTCAACAGCATTTCTTCCAGGGTATCCCCAGTCTCCCTACGTTCACTACCCACTCC